TAACATCTATGGATCTAGGTTTTCAAGTGTAGGGATGTCAAATCATAAATAATATTCTCTTACCACTCTAACATTCATTTGTCTTTAAGAAACACTCCCCTTCCCTTTGTTCTCACAGTTTTTTGGGACCTTCTTTTCAATTTGATTACTCTGACAAATGTCAGGTCCTTTCCCAGAACCAATGTTTAATTTTACTAATTAATTTTGTTGTTTTTTAATTCACTGAATTCTGTGTTTATCCTATTTTGTCTTATTTACAATCTTTCTTGTATTCTAAAAAGAAAATACATTTAAGGCTATAAATCTCCCTCCCAGTACCTTCTTTGCTGTATCCCATTGGTTTAAGTTACAGAGATCTAAATTCTGTACAGTACTTGTAATTCATTTCTAAATAGTTTACAATTTCTACTTTATCTTGAAAACAAATACTTGGAGATATACTCTTTACATTTCCAAGTGGAACAAAATGGTTTTATCTACTTTATTGTTAATTTCTACTTTTCTTGTGTTTTAGTCAGTGAACATGGCCTGTGTGATTTCTTTATGAGATTTCTGAGCACTTTAAAACATAGTCAAATTTTGCAAATATTTCACATATGTTTTCAAAGTGTCATGAATACTTGAAAAGTGTTCCTATATTCTGTTTTATCAACCTTGTTAATTGTGGTAACTCTTGTTTTTTTAATCTAACTGAAATGTCCATTTTTGAGAGAAGACTAAGGCTTTAGCCACAAATGAAAAGGATTTTTAATGCTATAATTCTTGCTGGATAGCTCTTACCTTTACCCCAAATCAAGCATTTGAAATAACAGCCTCAGTTTCTTAAAGTGTCATCCCCAGACCAGCAGTGTCAGCATCACCTGGAAACTTGTTGGAAATGCAGACTGTCAGGCCTCACCCCAGACTCACTGCATCAGAGTCTCTGGGGTCAGCACTGAGTAATCTGTGTTCTAACCTCCGTTACATGTGATTCTACCTTGTGAAATTCTGATCTAAATGATTTTTAGGATATAGCATATTTTGATATGTTTCTTCTTTCTTTCCTATTAGGTACTATAGAAATTCAGAGATAAGGATGTATTAGTATTTTATTAGCACTGAATGATTTTTTTAGCTTCCTTTTTATTCTCCCTTTGTGTCTTCCATACTCCTATTGGAGGTACCAAAGAAACACATAAAAAAAGAAAAATTCCTTTTGTAAGTGACATTTGGCAAAGAAAGAGCCAAACTGTTGAGTGAAAAAAATACTCAGAATAATTTCACTGAGCTTGTAGAAGGCTTTGTGTCAGACTAGCTAACATGTCTCCCTTAGCAATCTCTTAGAGACTCTCTGATTTCCTAATAGGCATTTAACAGAATTTAGTTATGAAATTTAATACATTTAAGAGGTTTTAATTATGAAAAAGATATTCTCCTTTCTTCCTATGAAGGCAATTGCCACTTTGAAATGAACTTTTTACCCAAAATGGCAAATAGGAAGCCATTTCGTCAGGAATGGTAGCATTTAATACTGAGAAAAACTATCGTATTTTTCATCTGAAATTGAGTACTTTTGCATTTCTAAAATTGAATTACTTTATTTGCCACGTTGGAAAAGCTTTAACAAAGGTTTCCTTTAACGTTTAATATATATTGTGATAAAAGTGTAAATAAAAGATGTGTGAAAATGCAATATTTGCTAAAGTTGGTATTTGATAGTCTAAAAACAGACTGCATGCAATGAATATCAATTCTAGGAGAATTCAGACCCTGAATTTGGCATTCATAAAGCCACAAAAGGCTGTAAATTTAAATCCAGCTTGGCTCAAGAATCCCCCAGAAACATACTGTAATCTTTTAGTGTAAGGGGGTAGAATGCCAGGAGGGGTGAACATGACAATGAGGCCGTGCTGCCCTGGAGCTTACGGTGGTGAGGAAAATAGACATTAGGTCAGGTAACCTATCTATTCAGGTAATAATGGCTAGTTAAAGGAAAAAAAGCCACAGTAAAGAGATAGTGTGAGAGAGGACCTTACAGAGAGAGGGGACATTCAGCTAAGATCTGAATGAAGAGGGCAGCCCGGGTGGCCCAGCGATTTAGCGCCGCCTTCAGCCTGGGGTGTGATCCTGGAGATCCGGGATCGAGTCCCACTCAGGTTCCCTGCATGGGGCCTGCTTCTCCCTCTGCCTGTGTCTCTGCCTCTCTCTCTCTCTCTCTCTCTCTCTCTCTCTCTCTCTCTCTGTCTCTCACGAATAAATAAATAAAATCTTAAAAAAAAAAAAAAAAAGAAAGATCTGAATGAAGAGAAGCAGCACCTACAAAGGCTCCAAAGCAGGATGTGGTGGGCATGTGTCAGGAGAGAATGAAGCCTGTCATGGTTGGAGGAGAGTGACAAGGAAGACAGCAGCACAAATGTAAACACTCATGTAATCAAAGTACGTGTGAACACATTAAAATCACCTGGGGCCCCTGGGTGGCTTGGTCAGTTAAGCATCTGGCTTGGACTCAGATCATGATCCCAGGGTCCTGGGATTGAGCCCCACAGTGGGCTCTCTCTGCTCAGCAGAGAGCCTGCTTCTCCCACTCCTCATGCTTGTGCTCTCTCTCCCTGTCTCAAAAAAATGAATAAAATCTTTTAAAAAATCGTTTTCATTTGATCTTTGGTATTTTTTGGAATAGCAGCTCATCTATACCCCACCTACACTTTCTTACATTGCTTAGTTTGCAATTCTCTTAAAAGAGAAATTATAAGTTAATTCTGTTGATATTTTGACAGTAAAAATAGAATAAAATTTTATATGGCAGGATGGGATTGGTTCAGGCCCAATGTGAACATAGACACATCCAAAGGATTTACAGCAAGAATCCCAGTGTTGAATGACCCTAAATGCCAGACAGGTCAGTTAATACAAACGAATGAAGTAAGCTAAACACTGAGAAGAACTGGACCTCAAGAGAGCAGCTGCTGCTCAGCTCCAGACAATTGTCCTCCAACCATGTAGGTTTATTATGGCTGGGTCTTCCAAGTTTTCAAAAGAAGGCGGAGAGCCAACATTTTATATAAAAGCTTTCAATTTTTAAACACAGGCAGCTATAGAAAGATTTGTAAACACTGTATAGGGCACACAAGAAGGTCTAGATGCTGCATGCTGTTAGCTTCTAAGCTCTGGTGTAGAGGATGGTCTCAGGACCTCCTCCCAGGCCAGGCATCATCCAGGCTGGGCAATGGGCTCACCTACTCATGGTACTCATGGCCACTCCCTCTGTCCAGAATGAAAAGCATGCTCTCTTAAAGACCTACTAAAGCCCCTCTGCAAAAGCAGCTTGCCTGCTGAAACACGTTCTCTGCCAGTGATGCTAGTCTAGGGAAACTATGGCAGAGAGAAGTGAATTCTTCTAACACCGGAATTACCGAGCTGAAAACAATGATTAGAATGACAGGACATTCATGATCATTTGCTTCTATAACATTTAAAAAAAAAAAGGGTGGGAGGCAGCCCGGGTGGCTCAGCGGTTTAATACCACCTTCAGCCCAGGGTGTAATCCTGGAGACCGAGATCGAGTCCCATGTCGGGCTCCCTACATGGAGCCTGCTTGTGTCTCTGCCTCTCTCTTTCTGTGTGTCTCTCATAAATAAATAAATAAATAAATAAATAAATAAATAAATAAATAAATAAATAAAATCAAGAAAATAAAAAAATTTAAAAATGAATAAATAAATAAATAAGTAAATAAGTAAAATCTTAAAAAAAGAAAAGAAAGAAAGAAAGAAAGAAAGAAAGAAAGAAAGAAAGAAAGAAAGAGGAAACTGCAGCTAGGAATCCAGATCTGAGGACTCTGCAGCTTTCTATCATGATGATATCTGCTATCCAGAAGCTGTTTCATCTTTGCCTAGAGACTCACAAAACTGAGAAAAGCAGTCCTGACAAATACGCTCAAGACAACTCTGTGGGCATCACAGAATAGCAAAAATAATTCAAATCTCATGAGTAAACTAATAATAGAGTGAAAAAATAGCTGATAGTAACAAATGAATGCACACCTGATAAAGCAAAGGCTGCTGGGCTGTAACACGGCTTCAGGGACTTATTTGTCAAACAGCCTCAAGTGAGTTATTCTGGTCCTCAAACGATCTCTATCACCAATACTATCAACTCCAACATTCCTGCTAATGTACAACAGTAGACATTATGTTATGTAAGAAGGATGTCATCACCTTGAGGCCAGTGAACAGGAGAATGGAAAGCCAGGATAGAAAGGCCTCCCAGAATCCAATTAGGATGCCCAAGCTGAGGTCTTTTATAAACAACAACAGAACCATGACAGAATTTGAAAGTATAAAAGTGAAAAAATCCCTAAAGAGAACATTCTTTCCTAAAAATATTCAGAAAAGGAATGCAGACTCCTTAGCTTACTTTGCCCCCCAATTTTTTTATTGCCTCTACTCATTAAATCTCTGTGAACATTACCAAGTGTCTGTGGTTAAGGGAGAATGTTCCATTGCAGAGAAGGAAAAACACACCCAGTTTTTCATTAGACACTTTGGAACAATTTAATATTCATCCTTAGGCAAAATTCAGAGTGATCCTCTCCGAGGGCCTAAAATTAGGATAATGGTTAGCAAAACAGCAAAGATGCTACAAATCAGCATGAGCTGCCCTCCAGTCTCACTCTTAAAGTCACAATCCCAAATAAACTACGCAAGACAGTGCATCCTCACTCGGCATTTCTTTTACTGTTAACAATTCCAAACTCAACAAAAAGAAAAATGGCAAGTTAATAAAGGATTTTTAAAGCTAAGAAGATGCCACTAATCAGGAGTCCCAGAATTGCTCAAACGTGGGTCAAAATGCAGTCGCAAACCCATGAGGCCCTCAGCCTGGGGGGCTGCTGCCGGGAGGGCCAGAGGCTTGCACTGTACAAGAAAACGCTCTGGCACTTTTGGTGAAGTGACAAAAGAGGATGTGCAATATGGCAAAAAACCGTCCCCAGCAGACACAACAGTTCAAGCACTACTTACGAACTCATAGTCTCCATCCTGCGGTACTTTCCAATCCGAGGAGTTCCTCAGGGGGCCAGGGACACTCTGGCCAAAGCTGTGGATCTGGTTTTCTTTTTCTTTTTGTTCAAAATATTCAAGGAAAGATGGTTTTGCAGGCTGCATGGTCTCATCCCTTCCTGAAAACCAAGAACAATAAAAGGCAAAAAATAGTATCTTCGATTTCAGAGTTTAATGAATACAGATGGGCTTCAGCTTCTGTGTCAGTGGCTTTTTGCTAGATAAGGACTTCCAGAAGAATTTAGTGAAAACCACAGGAAAATGAAAAAATGCTCACACCACCTGCTTCTCACAGAATTTCAGAGGATTTATGGGCCCCCTTAAACACATGCAAATATTTCCCCAGGCACCATTTTTCTGGGGTGATATAACAATTCTGAGTAAGCTGCAAGTAGTACTTTTGGGGTCTCCTATAGCAAAAAGTTTCCATGATATTTAGACTGAAAACAGAAAAGCAAGCACAGCTACTTATCACCTATGTAGATAACATTTCCTATAGCTAATGGAATAGGGAAGGGGGATAATAAGACAGTAGAGTGACTTCCCTTTGAGATTCTCTTGATCCAACTGGACTAGAAAGATATGCACAAAAAAGCAAATATAAGTAAATCATATTCCATCCACTCCAGGAAATATTATGTAATTTTTAAAACCCTATTTACAGGGGCAATTGGGTTGCTCAGTGGTTAAGTGTCTACTTTTGGCTCAGGGTGTGATCCAGGTCTGGGGATCAAGTCCCACATCGGGCTCCCTGCATGGAGCCTGCTTCTCCCTCTGCCTATGTCTCTGCCTCTGTGTCTCTCATGAATAAATACATAAAATCTTTTGTTTAAAAAAAAACCCTATTTACAAATGGCTTACAATAATGCTAAAAATTGAAGATAGGATACAATATTATATACAGAGCATGATCTCAAATCTGTAAAATCATATACATGGGAGGAAAAAAATGAAAGAAAAATACCAAAATGTTTACAGGATTTGTCTCTCATAGTAGATCTCAAGATCTCATGGGGAGATCTTGCAAGCTGGGGTGGTTAGGGAAGATGGGTAGGGGGTACTTAGGTTGGACCCTAAACATACCTGAGGAAAGATTCAGCAGTTACTAGTAGCAGCTGCCAAAGGGAGCAAACTACAGAAGTTACTGGTTAGTGGTGAAAAAAAGAATACTTTTACCTGGCATGACTTACAGCCTAGCTAGCTGAACATATCTACTTCACATGTCCAAGTGGTTTCTGCTTCTGATTAGTATTTTAATACTAGGAAGTATGGAAGTTTTTCCCATTGCTTTCCATGAACATGTGGGTTTATATCGCCCTTTTCCCAATAACCAGGAAAAAAGACCAGAAGGTTCAAAGCCCTAACAAGTGGATGGAAAGGGAATCAGCACGTGTTTCTCTCCAGACATTCTTGTTCCATGTACTCTTATCTCCTGATGTCTGCCTAGTCCAGCTTCAAGCCAGCACCCTGACTGCCTCTCAGATGTTTGTCATATCACTTTGACCACTGCCAAGTTCAAAGCAGCCAATCCCAGATTTGCCCACTTGCAGATGCTGCCAAAAGCCTATTTCACTGTTGCCTCCTGACTTATTAGTGATTAAACACAGTGTTTGCTAAGACCAGCCAATAATTATGTGCTAAGTGTGTGTTGTTCTGTTTATTCTAGGTGTGATGTTAAATGCTTTTCATGATTGTTTTATTTAATTTTTAAGTTAAATTTATGGTATTATTTTATCATCTAGTTCTGAAGGAACTACAACAAAATAAAACCTGTATAAGTAGAGCTGTTTGAGATTTGCTGACAAGTCCTCTTGATAAGTCCCCTCCCCCTGGACCAGAAAAACCCTCAGCAAGCCTACACATGGTCCTACACAGAAAGAGCATTTAGCGAGCCTCCTGGAATCACACTAGGGTGGCGGTACTACCGACTGTTACGACATACAGTATACAGTGTTCTTTCATATGGAATCTCGTGGCTAGACATGTCGACCAACCAGCTGAACAGAGCAGAAAGTCTTGAAGCAAAATAGTGAGCCCAAAGGCTTTCCAAATAGCTAGTTATTTGGAAAAGGACTGACTTGGATCTACACCTCACATTTTAAACCAGGAAAACTCCACATGGGTGAGAGCTTTTACTACAAGGACGGGAACTATAAATATTACAAGAAAACTGGTGTGGATACACTTGAGGCCTGGGTGTAGTTTCTGACTATGAAAAAAAACCAGATGCAATGAAACATGGATAAATAAAAACCGTTTGTGTGAAGAAAACCCCATACATTTTTTAAAATTAGTAAGTACACATATAAGCCAAGACAAAAGACAAATGGAGAACTGTAAGAAAATATTTGCAACGTGTACCATAAATTTTTTTAAGGAAAGCTCTTTAAAAAAATGTATGAGTTGTTCTTGGTATGAGGCAGATAAGTTCCTACACACACACACATTTCCTAAAATCTACCAAAAGAAGACCCAAGAAAGGTAGAAAAATGGGCTAAAGCCTTGAAAGGATAGTATGGTTGACCCTTGGACAAAGCAGGGGTTAGGGCACTGACTCCCATGCAGCTGAAAAATCATGTATAAGTTTGGACTCCTCCAAAACTTAACTATTAATAGCCTGCTGTTGATCTGAAGCCTTACTGAGAACATAAACAGTCAATGAACATACATTTTGTATAAATATTACATGCTGCATTCTTATAATAATGGAAGCTAGAGAAAAGAAAAAGAAAATCATAAGGAGGGGTCCCTGGGTGGCCCAGTTGGTTAAGTGCCTGCCTTTGATTCAGATCATGATCCCAAAGTCCTGGGATAGAGCCCCGCATCTGGCTTCCTGCTCAGTGGAGAGTCTGCTTCTCCCTCTCCCCTTGCTCGTGCTGTCTCTCTCTCACTTGCTCACTCTCTCAAATAAATGAGTAAATCTCTCCCCCCCCCAAAAAAAAAAAAACTTAAGGAAAAGAAAATACACTTACAGTACTATACTGTATTTATTGAAAAAACCTGCACATAAATGGGCCCACAGAGTTCAAATCTGTGTTGTTCAACCATATACACAGAAAGTTATTCAATTAGTCCTTAAACATGAAAAAAAATGTGTAGGTTCACACACAGTAAGAGAAACTCAAATCAAAACCATTTAGAGATATGATTTCTTACATTTCAAAAGGACAAGAATTCAAAAGCTGTTGGTAAGGCTGTGGGAACACAAGCATACTCATACATTGCTGAACTAGGAGTGCAAAATAGTACAAGCTCTAAAAGGGGACGTGCCAAGAGCTAAACATCAAAGTATGAAATAGGGAAGGTACAAAGAATCCTGGTGTGTTGTATTTGAACTGGAGGTATGAATGTGAGCTCATACTTAGAAAAAAAAATTTCTGCTTTAAAGTCTTAAAGCAGTAACACCTCATTATCAATGAACACACCTGGTGCTCAGATCTTGGTTTGCAAATCCCATTCCCCACTCAGAGGAACTAAAGCTTCTTAAGGGAAATAGCTAACTCCAGGTCTAAGAGTGGGCCTGGAACATCTGTGCCATAAAAAGCAAGCAAGTACTCAAAAACTAATGGGAACATATCACCAGGAAATAGAAGCCACCTTGAGGGGCTCCCACTGGTAAATTGTGGGGCACTTCCAGCACCAAAAAGATCTCACTGAATAAAAAGATTACTCATTAAGCTAGGAGTAATAATCAAACAGTGAAGGGGTTTGGGAGAGAGAGGTACTGTCAAAAGAGACTGTACCACTTGAAAACTGTTATTATCGTAACAAAAGAGTATCTTCTTTTTTAAGAAATATACACAGATTATCTTCTTTCTTAGAAAAGACACAATGTTTGAGAGTAAGCTACACACATTCCACACCAACTTCTCATTATTTCTATCATTTTATGTTTGTTTACCCATTCATCTTTATATATGCACAGAGAAATGACTTAATTGAGTTCATCAATAAAAATGGCAACTCTGGACAGAAATAACAGATAATTTAAAATATGTTCTCCTATGGGATTGTTACAAAAATCACAAAGATATCGTTTTTTTAAAGCATCACATCCAACGATAAAAATTGTGTAATTGTACTCTATATTGCTCTGATGCTTCATTTGCTCCTTTCAGTTGCAATACAGGTGTATCTTAGAAATTCAAGTCTCTACACCAGGGATGAAACATTAAAGAAAATAGCCTTTCTATCGTCTAATTCTAAACCATATCATAAAAACCAAAGGAATGTTTGTTAGGCTAGAGTATAATCATTTGTCTAATTTCTATCACTGGTGGATCCCTGGGTGGCTCAACGGTTTAGCGCCTGCCTTCAGCTCAGGGTGTGATCCTGGAATCTCAGGATCGAGTCCCACATCGGGCTCCCTGTGAGGAGCCTGCTTCTCCCTCTGGCTGTGTCTCTGCCTCTCTCTCTCTCTCTCTCTGATGAATAAATAAATTTTTAAAAATAAAATAAAATAATAATTTCTATCACTGTTTATTTTTTTTTAATTTTTTTAAATTTTTATTTATTTATGATAGTCACAGAGAGAGAAAGAGAGAGAGGCAGAGACATAGGCAGAGGGAGAAACAGGCTCCATGCACCGGGAGCCCGATGTGGGATTCGATCCCGGGTCTCCAGGATCGTGCCCTGGGCCAAAGGCAGGCACCAAACCGCTGCGCCACCCAGGGATCCCCCTATCACTGTTTAGAAGAGAAAATGAAACACAAGTTTTCTTTATTTTTTTTTATTTTATAAATTAATTTTTATTGGTGTTCAATTTACCAACATAACACCCAGTGCTCATCCCGTCAAGTGTCCCCCTCAGTGCCCGTCACCCATTCACCCCCACCCCCCACCCTCCTCCCACTCCACCACCCCTAGTTCATTTCCCAGAGTTAGAAGTCTTTATGTTCTGTCTCCCTTTCTGATATTTCTCACACATTTCTTCTCCCTTCCCTTATATTCCCTTTCACTATTATTCATATTCCCCAAATGAATGAGAACATACACTGTTTGTCCTTCTCCGATTGACTTACTTCACTCAGCATAATACCCTCCAGTTCCATCCACGTTGAAGCAAATGGTGGGTATTTGTCGTTTCTAATGGCTGAGTAATATTCCATTGTATACATAA